CCCTTTGACTGATATTGATAAGGATTGCGGTAGGCATAGAGAAGCTGCCCCATTTGCACTGTCTGTACTGGTGTAGTTCACCCCATCAGACAACAATCACCTACAAGTACATCCTTTTTTGTGAAGTGACAGGCAGGTGCACAGCTTTGACCAATTGCAATATATTCCCCTGGTTTACTGTAGGAGAACAAATGTTGTAGCTAGACCCCCTGGTCATCCACCATACTCTAGACTGCTACCTAGGTAACTTTGTGAATGATCCAGCTGTGCAATAAATAGATAAGCACTAATGAGATTTAGGGTACATCCATACCCCTGCATGGGAGGTGTGGTCTATTTTAGATTGCAACATGTTTTACATGCGTTACCAAACCAGAGATGCAGCATGCAATGTTTTTTCCATATGACACCAAAATGCAGGTGTGAATGTACCCTTAACTCAAGGGTAGCCAAACTCCGGCCCTCCAGCTGTGGTGAAACTACAAATACCATATTGCATCTCTGTCCAGGAGTCATGTCTGTGGCTGGGAGAATCTTGCAATGCCTCATGGGATTTGTAGTTCCACCACAGCTGGAGGGCCGGAGTTTGGCTACCCCTGCCTTAACTGGAAGGAAACAAAAGTTGTTGCCTATGGTCCATTCCTATATGTGTTTCCTTAATGGTGCAATCAGGGCCGGATTTCCCATAAGGCCAACCAAGGCCCGGCCTCTGGGCAGCAGGGAGTAGAGGGGCAGCAGGGGTGTGGAATTCCTATCTCCCAATGCCCAGGACGTGCAGTTCCGGGCGGGTAGTTGTTTTCTACATTTAGCCCTGCTTCTTGTATGCATCATTTTGTCTGCTTATCTCCAAGCCTGATGAAGGGGACCCTGCGAGGCCCCGTAATTGGTACGATCTCCCACTTTTTAAAGTGTCAGCTCATTCAAAATTAATAGGCTGCCTTAACTCAGTGTACCCTAACGCACAGTATAAACACAACGCTTAGTGTGAAGGTGGCCTTAAACTATGGGGAACTATGGGGTTAGTGCTCTTCCCCATAGTTCTCCTTGGGGTAACGGGAGGACACAAACTAGCGTCCTCCCGTCACCCTAACCTCAGTATACCGCGTGCTACAGCTCGCTAGTGCTGCTGGTCCCAAACCACTGACATATCCTGCTATGGCTACAGAAGAAAAAAATGTACTTGGACTGCAAAATGCATAAACCACGTATCTGCTGCTTTGGCGCTGAAGTCTCCGTCTGTCTTTGTGCCTCCCGGCTATGGATGCTGCTAAGCCTGGACATGTAGCATATGTAAGCTTCTTCTGTCCAGCACATTTCACAGTCTCCAAAATTTCTTCCTCAGGCACTAGAAATTTACTGACAACGCAGAAAAAGGATCAACGCCCAGCAGGGCGCAGCCCAAGCGGAAACCTGGTTTATGCTTCTATCACTTACTCCACTGACACAGAGCCCAGTATTATTGGTGAAAGCCCAAGTGGTGAATATGTTCTGCCCTCTTATATATAGTAGTACACAGGAGTAAAGCCATTTTACAGAGAGTCTATTGGGTTGAGTATCAACTGCTATCATGAGCATCCATTAGGGATGCATGCATGTTGGTGTTATGGCATTTGGTTCTATGCACACCAATATAGCTGCCTGGCACATGCACTGTTGTCTTGCTCTCAGCATAGGTTGGGGATGGACACAGACGTGAGCTTGGTGTGGTTTATCTGATCCACCACTGTAATATTAAGGCCCTGTGATCTCTTCTGTGTCATTAAAAACACTGGGCCTTAATTATCGTTCAATGTCCGAGTGGAAATGTACACTATATGGTCAAAAGTATGTGGACACCGGACAACCATACCTACCTGTATGGCCAGAAGTATGTGGACACCCCTCCAAATGATTGAGTTCAGGTGTTTCCAGTGAATGGTCAATGCTAAAGAATTCAAAGACATTTTAGAGAACTGCGTGCTTCCAACCTTGTGGCAACAGTTTGGGGAATGCAGTCTTCTGTTCTAGGATGCATGTGCCACTGTTCACAAAGCCATAAACCATAAAGTCATGGTTTGGTATGGAGGAACTTGAGTGGCTTGCATGGAGCCCTAACCTCACTCCTACTAAACTTTATTGGTATGAATCAGAACACTTATTGTGAGCCAGGTTGAATATAAATACCTGACTCACAATTGCTCTTCTGGTTCTTACTGAGCAAGACCATTAATCTCAGGTTATATACACAGATTAATTTACAGTATAAGCACTGGAAGTAGGAAAACAGGAAAAATAAAAGCAACCAATTGCGCTCGCAGTTACTTATGTAAGATGAAAAAATAATTGGTTTTCAGGGGCAATTGCTCCAATATAGTTCCAGTTTTCAAAAATCAGCTGTGTAGTCCAGAACACAATACAGTAAACGTATTACTGTAGAAGACATATAGAAGACATTAAACATCTACCTAAACTTCTACTGAAGTAGGTAAGAATTATTGGAAGTTTGATTGGCTGCCAGCGGTAATAATATTTTCTGTTGTGAAGCAACCTGCTTTATGTATTCTATAAGGCTTTTTGTTAAAACTGCGCAGAACAAGAACGTCAATTTTTCATGATAAAAACAGATATATAGACTATGTGAATAAAGCTTTGGGACACAATATAGTCCAAAATATGCTGCTCCACCAAAAAGCAGAAACATCCACAGAAGTGACTCCACTACCTATTTTGGGGATAACAGTTCCAAAAAACAAACACTGTCGTCATGTCAGATACAGATATAGACATCCAAATAATGAGCTCCACAAATGTGCAGGATTTATGATCACTCCATATCTATAAATCTCAATGTTGAAAGTACATAAATTGCAGCAATTGAATAGCGTATCACCATTTTATTATAACATATTGCACATTTAGACATTCTCTATATGCTTACATTAGAAAAGTGTCATGTCACCCCGCCTGTCCTACTGCAGTATTAGTGGCCATTTCCTCTCACCTGCCGTGCATTTGGGGCTTGTCTCTGTGTGTGTAGGAGGTCACGTGGTAGAGTGATAAATTAATCTGCTTACTCCTATCCTACGCATTTCATCCATTAATTTCTTCTTTGTATTTTGTTATATGTATTAGGTGCCTCTGTGTTATCCGAATGCATGGCAAAGGCCAGTGTCCATGCCTTGCCCGGTGCTTACTTACCCCAGTGTGATGAGAATGGTGGCTTCAAGGCTACGCAGTGCTGGAGAAGCACCGGATATTGCTGGTGTGTCTACAAGAATGGAACCGAGATTCCAGACACCAGGTCCCGCGCTAAAATTGACTGCGAAAGTAAGAACACCCATGTCTTACTCATATAGTTGAAGGTACCATGAGATATAGAAGGAAAGTCAGAAACAATCATTTGTGATAGTGTTTGCTACATATACATTCCTGGTGCTGGCCTTCTCTCAAGGAGGACAGTAGTGATTGTCCAGGAAAATCCATACTGGTCACTTTTCCCTGAGTTTGTCTGCACAGGTCACAGTAACTATACACATTGTTTCCTAGTACAACTGAAATTGGTTGGATGACTAAACATTTAACTCATGGCTATGGACATCCTAAATTCTGTTGTGCTATGAAAGTATAAGAGGGGCTACACCTGCACAGTAGATTTTTGTACAATTGGCATATCCAAATTGTAAAGGGCCCCAGCAGCATTCTGGGGAGTCAGGATCTGAGTCCACACCTATTTTGTCTGCTATGTTATCTGCATGCATGCTGCAGTGGAAGAAGGTAGCAGAGCAGGGCATTTACTTTTCCCATAATGCTTCTTTTCATGGTCCCCCATACAATATGTTAGGGCCTGTGCCTGAATCTAGAATTCACTGACAGGTGCATTTCACCTGCAATTGGCCACCTTCTGACCTACATTTGAACAGCTTCACATGGTTGTTACATTCCCTTATGCTGGGCACACACCTTACAACCATCGCAAGACTTTTGTCTTGCGATGGTTGTAAGGTACTTACAAAAACGTACGATCTGCCTATCTTGGACAGGCAGATCGTACTTGCGATGATCGCAAGCCGTGCCCCCCTGAGGGGCGGGCTTCCGATGACCGCAATGCCGAACGGGCCCGTCCGGCTTTTATCTTACGAAAAAAAGCCGGCCCGTCCGGCTTTTATCTTACGAACATGCTACACACCCGCCGAACATCGTACGATGCTCGACGGGTTTACGAACATGTTTGTAAGTTTAAAGTCGTGCGACCTTACAGTAGTAGAGGTCGCACAGCTTCCACACACCTTACGATAATCGTATGATCTCAGGATTTCCCTCGATTATCGTACGGTGTGTGGGCACCCTTAGGCCTGTATGGGAATGCAAGTGAACAAAAGCCCACTGATACAGGTTCCTACCATGGGAGTGATAGAAAAGCAAGCTGGGTAAGAGTTAGGTTTCACTTAAAGTGCATGTAAACCCTAAATTAACATCTTAATTTGCATCCCTGTAAGATAGGGACAGAATAATTTGGATAATTCAGCAGCGTGTGTGCTTTTGTATTGGTAATTTAAAATGAGAAGCTCAATTGATATTCAGCAACTCAAAGCACCACTAAAAGGGAAACCAAACTCTTCTTACTGCAGAACTTTAGTCAAGACAAAACTGAACAATAAACTGGTAAAGGATCAGACTTTGTCCACCTACCAATGGTGATAAGCCTCAGAGAAAGACAGTCCCAAAACAGAATCCAGCATGCCACATGGAAGTCCTAAGCTGAACTAAAGATCTCACTTGGACCTACAAAAGCAGTTCTTGTAGGGGCTTATTCTGGATACTCACAGGTGCTTGCCTGATTCATTTGAGAAGGGTTTTATTAGAATGTCTAGGAGTGCACACCTTTAGTAGTCGACCATGTCCAGGACACCACACTTGTGAGGCTTTACTCTCCCTGACCACTTTTATTTAAACATTCTACAACTAATAAGCTGCAAAACATCTCCTAAAGCATGCTGGAGGTTGTTGCTGATTCCAAACTAACTTTATATGACTGCAACTCAGCACAGTTCTGTAAACCATAAAATAATATAACTATTTTTCATGTCCTGGAATGTTAATTCCCTCAAGGTTTTCATTTGAAGAACTAGGGCCTGTGTACAAGGACAGAAATATGTTGAATGTAGTATTGCTTTAACCTGCTGTTGAGCTGCTGCTTCAGAGCTACTTTGAGCTGCTTTTGGCATGCTTCAAGCTGTTTATGCTTTCACATTAACCTTTATGAGGAAGAGAAGCAGTTCAAAATCATACAAACACTCATGTACAATTGGTGAAGTTCCTTAATGGCTGATTTCAAGCATAGACATGTATGCTTATGCCTCCTATAGGCTGCATGTATATGTCACTGAGCTGGTAAAGGGAACAGGGGAGGAAACACCTCTGATGCCAGATCAGCTTAAAGGAATAGCAGTGATTTAGGTTTTTAGACCCATCCAAATCGATCCCCAGGTCCCTAAGAGTGGTTGGTCAGGGTGTCAAGTGAAAAGAGATGGCTGTCTGATCTAATTTAGCATATTCTTAGTGATGTAATTTTCTTCTTATGGCATGATTGTCTGCATCATTATTAATGTATGGCTTCAAATGAGATGCAATGCTAGACATATCAGATTTTATTTATTAAAGTCTAAATGTACATTTTTTTTAACAGATGCTACATACGAAGTCTTTGATGGCTCGGATATGTAATAGACTCCATCCTTTCATGGTAAATGTTACGTATTTACTAGTCTTTTTTTTAGCTTGGTCCCATTTATGTGAGAAATGTATTTTCATTAATTTCGGATGAGTTCAATGATAATAACAAAACACAAATTAATTGCAGAAAAGTGACATTAAATGTTTACTTTGTTTCTTTTTAACTTTTGACCATCCACAGAAACAATAGAAAAAAAAAACAGCTTGCGGTTCCCCTGTATATTCCTACCAGACCCTTTAAGATTGGTAGGAATTTTAAGGGGAACCCCAACGAGAAAAAAAAACATGGGGCCCTCCCTAAAATCCCATACCAGACCCTTAATCTAACCCTAATTAATGATATTAGAACTGTTTATGGGGTGATAGGGACAGAGCAGGGGAGTAAAAGGGATATTAAGGGGGTGATGGGAACAGAGTATGGGGACATAGGGTAATATGGACAGAGCAGCATTAGCTGGCAGCCAATTGGCAGCTGGGAACTCTGTGCATCAGCCAATAGGTGAAGCGGCATCTGGCCACATGACCAAATGCTTAGGGGAAAAAAAAAAAGAAGAATACAGACAGTGTTGGTTTGATTGCATGCAGGGGGCAAAATGGACATATATTTTTAGAAATCATTGATTATGAAGATCCTCTTTTGTTTCAATATGGCTGTAAATTCATGTTTGTGTTTTTCTGCAGGGGAAGACAATCACATCTGATCAAGCAAGGCTGCAATTTTACTACTAATAGACTGCTTAGTTCCAGCTTAGTGCAGAGGCTTTTCTACTTCTAGGGGACAGTCTTTTTTTTTTTTTGTTGTAATGCCATATCTTTACAGTGATTATATAAGGAGAACTGCAGACAAGACACGAAATTCAGTAATAAGTATGGAAAGAAGACAGTATTTCTTTATATAACATATACCTGGTGATAAAAGGCTGACAATGCCAAACGCTTTGCTGTGAAATCACTGCAGCGTTGACACCCTGTGCAGCTGCTGTAGCTGATAGAACTACAGGGCTAGTCACCGATGATAACCCTCCTTCTCAACAGCAGTCTGTGCAGGATCCACCCAGTTCCACTCCCAGGTGTTGTGAGTGACAGCATAGTGCCGTCCAAATCATCGAGATAGAGGAGCATGCGTGGTCCTACAGGGCAGGCTACATCTGGGCACCCCACCCTCTCTAATCATTCCTTCTTTACTCCATAAAGAGTAAAAAAAAAAAGACATTTGCCATGCATATACAGGGGCGGATGTTAAGTTAAAAAAAAAAAGATCTTATAACTATAGTGACTAAGGATACATTTGAAGGTTAGGATGCGGTTAAGTGTTAAGGATTCGTTTTAGGAGTTAGGTTATGGTGCCCCCCACCATAACCTAACTCCTAAAATGAAGCCAACCCCCGTTGGGTGTTAAGGATTCATTTTAGGAGTTAGGTTAAGGTGGGGGGTTAAGTCTTAAGAGTCCTGTTTTTTGGTTTTGGTTCCAAAAACCCCTGCAAAACACTACTGGACCTGGGTTCTCTCTGGGTGCTGAAAACCATTGTCCTGCACCTAGGATCTGTTCTTAATGAATATTGAAGACTCCCTTAATAGTTCCATACATACAGGAAGTTTTAACTCCAGTGACAGGTTGCTGTAAGGAGCACTAGGGCCCCATTCACACGGGTGGACTGGGGGCGGTAAAGCAGCCTGGTTGATGTACAGTTTTAACAGCCCTAGCTGCCCACCGCAACATCAGCACTGTGGCTGCTTTGTGTCGCAGTGTGGTAAAAAATATACAGCATACCGCATTGAAACAATTGAACTTCGCCGCAACTGGATGGGTACACGAATGTGCTGCGGTGCTGCAATAGAAAATTCCACTAGGTTTAAAAAAAAACACAAAAAAACCTGCATTAAGGCGGCAGCAGTATCACCTCCTGAGCAGCCACTGCTCCAGCCCATGAGGTCTACCTAAAAAAAAAAACTATTTCTACCTAACATCACACATATTAACTGGTGAAGTTTGTCTTGCCTGACGTTCTCCTTCATTTTTGTGTTCAGCTGAGTGTTTCCAAGGAATATTACTTTGTACTTTGTGTTATAGATGTACTTTTTTCCTCATAATAAATCTGGCAGGTGATTGATGTTAAAAAATTATCACATCATGGATTCTAATAATAATAAAAAAAAAAAGATTGTAATTAATTTAATATATTATTGTCAAAAAGTGATTTCGTTATTGGGAAAAAACAATTTTCAATTTTTGAGTTGAATATAGATGAAAAAGTTCCTGACTTAGTGCACCCTGGTTTAGAATTTGCTGTAACACTGAATTAAGCCATTGCAAGCTGGGAGAAGCTGAAGTCGGCCATACACCTTCAGATTTAAATCACTCGATCCCCCTCCCCCCATCCATGTTAAAGAGAGTGGAAGAAGGCATCTCCCTTACTGGCTATTGTATTTTGCCAACTGGCACCCACAGCTGTCAATACCAGAATAGTGGCTGCAGTCACTGTTGAGCCAACAATTTTCTACCTGGCTCTTTTGACAAAACTCAATTGAGGACTGTCCACAGCAACAAAGGTTCCTTCAGTATCTGATTGAGAATTGTTACATTTATAACATTAAAATATACAATCAAAAAAAATTGTAATAAAAATTAGACACTTCAGTTT